CCAAGATGAAACCCCTGTGGATCATGTACAGCAGTAAGGAGGCAGGCAGTGGTGACAGCGTTGGCATCATCTTTAAGAACGGGGATGGTGAGCCAGGCTGGGCAGGGGACATGCTGAGGCCTTGGCCTTCTCACCTAGGCCCATACTGTTCTGTGGTAGGGCCCCAGGGGTTCCCTGAGAAGACAGAGCTCAGATACTCTGAGCCTTGCATGGGTGTATAACCCAATAGAAACTCCTGCCCTTCCAGATCTCCGCCAGGACATGCTGACTCTGCAGATGATCCAGCTCATGGACGCCCTGTGGAAGCAGGAGGGCCTGGACCTAAGGTGGGGCCTCTGTCCATCACCTGTTTGTTTGGGTCTGTAACAGGCCTCAGAGCCTGAGCCTCTGGAGGAGTTCCTGGTCTAAACTGACACCTCCATGTTGGCTGTGAGAGGGGCTGTTCTCACAAGAGGGGTAGGGCAGCTGGAGGGGTTTGGGTAAGGCCATTCCTGGTGCTCAGCTCCTATTTCCTGGCTTCCTACCCCTTGGGGAGCTGTGCCACCTTCTTCCAAGCCCGCTGACTCATTCTCTTCAGAGCAAACATGAGCCCTGCCAAGGTGTGCTCTGCAACTTGGGTGCCAGTTGTGTGTCTCTGAGGCACCTTCCCCAGGGACCCACACCCCCTCTCGCATCCTCAGGAACTTGAGCAGTGTCCCCTCTGGTTTTGTTGGGCGCCTCAATTTCTTGGGGGTTCCAGTAGCCCCAGAGAATGTCCTTAACCACAGTGTCTGCCTGTGCCTCCTCTCATGTGCTAGGATGACCCCCTATGGCTGCCTTCCCACTGGTGACTGCATGGGCCTCATTGAGGTGGTGCAGCACTCAGACACCATTGCCAACATCCAGCTGAACCAGAGCAACCTGGCTGCCATAGCTGCCTTCAACAAGGATGCCCTGCTCAACTGGCTCAAGTCCAAGAACCCTGGGTAGGCTTTCTTATTCCTGGGAGAGGCTTGATAGAGTGAAAGGTGAGGGAAGGCCTGTGACAGTTTCCATGGCTGCTTGGCTCAGCTGAGCACTGGCCCACATCTGATTTGGGGCAGGACAGAGAAGGTCCATTTTTCCCAGATGTCCATTTTTCATGACTGTGTTATGCTACTCAACTCTTTGGGCGTTAAAACCACCACCGTGTTTAGTCACAAATATGTAGCTTGAGTGGGTTCTGCTGAGTGTTTCTGCTGTGGTTTGAAATAGCTGGTGCTATGGCTAGCATCTGTGATATTGCCTGAGCCCAGAGCATCTACCAAGGGCTCAGTCACACACCTAGGGACTTGGCTGTCAGTTGTGCCTCTTTATGCAGCCTCTCTTCATCTAACACATAGACCTTGGCTTCTCTGCATGGTATTGTGTGGAAGAAGTGGGCAATTTCAAGGTGGGCATGGTGACCTATGCTCCAGAATAATGCCCTCCTTGTTGATTAACACATGGCCAGATTCAAGAGGAGGGAAAATATAAGGAGCCCTGGTTTTCAATCTTCCCCAGCCAGAGAAGCCCTGGATCGAGCCATTGAAGACTTCACCCTCTCTTGTGCAGGCTACTGTGTGGCCACATATGTGCTGGGCATCGGTGACCGGCACAGTGACAACATCATGATCCGTGAGAATGGGCAGGTAAGGGGCACTGTGTTCAGCTGCCCAGTGAGCTTGTCCTACATGCCTGGCCCAGGGGCCTCTCTGCCCTGCCCACAGCTCCCAGAAGAGTGCCCCAAGTCCTGCTGACTTCCTCTAAACAGAATCTCTCTTTGTGAAGCCTGTTCAGTAGCTGCCCTTCATTCCCCTCAGCTATTTCATATTGACTTTGGCCACTTTCTGGGGAATTTCAAGACCAAGTTTGGAATCAACCGTGAGCGAGTCCCATTCATCCTCACCCATGACTTTGTCCACGTGATTCAGCAGGGCAAGACTAGTAATAATGAGAAGTTTGAAAGGTGAGGTTGCCCAGGGCCCCGGTGAGGGGACAGTGTCCAGCCAGGGGCAGGGATGGGGACATAGCCCTCAGACTAACTCCTGCCTCCATCCTGGGGGTGCTGCCTTCTCTGCAGGTGCACCCCAATCCCAGAGTACCCTGTTGGGCAGTGCAAACAGGAGGTCCATGGGAGGTGTAGGAGGCAGGCCCAGGCAGGGGCATTGGTTAGAGGATCTGGGTACACCCATAACCCAACCAGGGGCTGACACTCAGGAGCAGGTGCTGGCTGGATGCAGAACCCCTGCTTGTTTGGGGCTGGGGGTGGCAGGGAGGACCCAGGGCTTTATCTATGTCCTCCACCTCTGCAGGTTTTGAGGCTACTGTGAACAGGCCTACTGCATTCTGCGGCGCCATGGGCTCCTCTTCCTCCAACTCTTTGGTCTGATGCGGGCAGCAGGCCTGCCTGAGCTCAGCTCCTCCAAAGACATCCAGTACTTGAAGGTATGCCAGCACAGGGCCACACCAGACTGGAGGACAGGGTCCACCACAAACTTCCCAAGGCCTGCCTGAACCTCTACAGCTGTGGAGGAGCCTGCCTCCCCTATGTATAGTATAAAAAATGAGCTTGGCAGAGCTCATCTTGGTCAGAGTGCATCTTGCCTGAACAGCTCAGGGACCTAGGAGATTCACCTCACAGATGGGGGCCCTCATGCCGTCCCAGGCCCAGCAGTGCAGTATGGTGGGAAGTGGCCAGAATGGTGTGCTCCCTGGGCCTAGTCCTGCCCAGTTGAAGGTGAACTGTGATCTTGTTTGGTCATCCCATGTGTCCTCAGTGTCTTTAATGCATGAGATATAGTGTCTTGTAGGTTTGCAAGACACTTTCCATTCCTGTCTTTTCAGTTGGTGAGAGGCAGAGTGGGAGGGGGTGCATTCCCTAAATCTTCTCCTGCCCTTCTCTCAGCTAAGGTGAGGCCGCCTGACCATCTGCTTGCAGTTCTTTTAGGAAGGAATGTCAACAACCTGAGGGGGCAGGAGTACAGGGAGGCAGAAGGGATTGCAGATGCAGCAGGGTCAGGACCCCTGAATGTTGACGCAGTTGTGATGATTCTGTCCCAGGACACTCTGGCACTGGGGAAGACGGAGGAGGAGGGGCTGAAGCACTTCCAGCTTAAGTTCAATGAAGCCCTGAGGGAGAGCTGGAAGACCAAAGTGAACTGGCTGGCCCACAACCTGACCAAAGACAACCGGCAATAGTGGCCACCTCTGAGCCACCACAGGCTGGCAAACCTGTTCTGAGGACAGCTACCCTTGGTTGTCCTAGATGGGGCCTACACCTGAACTACACCTCATGGGAAAGAACAACACAATTGCCTTTTGTTTACACTAGTTATTTAGACAGACAGGAAATGTTTAAAGATGATGGGGGAACGTGATGGACATTATTATCCAAAGTAGATGTACAAAGACACAAATTGGTGTAAATATATTTTGTATACAACAAGAGATATGAAAAATTGTGCTCTATTTGTGTAATAAGAATTGTAATATATTCTGCTGTCATATAAAAAAAAAACTATAATAAAGAACCAAACAGTCAGGGATGGGGTTGTAAGCTCAGTAGTAGAGTGCTTGCCTCGCACGTGTGAGGCGCTGGTTTCAATCTTCAGCACCACATAAAAATAGATTAAAAATAAAGGTATTTGTCCATCTACAAGTGAAAAATAACAAAAAGAACAAAACACCATAAATGCAAATGCACCCTGGTGCAGAGGAGGGGTGCTGCACTGTGTCCAAGCACTGTGAGTTGGGCACCTTGAGGTTGTACCTTGCTCTTGTCTTAGGATGGGCATTCCAGGTCTTCCAGCTGGTGGATCTTGCCCAGCAAAGACTGACCTCCTCTTGGGGAAGCCTTGTTTCCCAGGCTCCCCACCTAGCAGTTACTTGGCCTACTGTCCACTTAGGACACCTCAATTCCCAGATCACCTTCTGCCACCTGTGTGGCCCGCACTTCATGTTCTCCATTGACCAAGTCCTGGGCAGATCCCAGAGAAGCCAGGGTACCCTCTAGACACAGGGATGCTTTTTCTTCACTGCTAAAGTGACTCTGAGGTAGAGGATGCCCTCTCCTTTTTCACCTTCAGGTAAGAAAATAATACCACTCTATTTACTGAACCTCTACAGCTGCAGAGGAGCCTGTCTCCCCTATGTATAGTATAAAAAATGAGCTTGGCAGAATAAGACATAAGCATTGAGGAAAAACCTGCAAGGAAATTACATGGGGGCTCTCCACAGAGTCCTTGCATCTTCCTGTAATCTATTCTTATTACAAATTTAAAAAAAAAGTTTCAAGAAAGGTCATGGAACTCTATATATAAAAAAGTGAATTATATTTTATGTAAAACAAAGCTAGACTTGCTGGCTGAGAGTCTTGCTCTGTGTGGTGTTCATTCCTAACACAAAAGACTCAATCCTCAGCTTAAAAGGCAAAACTCGTTTGACCTGTCAATGTAGTCTCAACTTCTTCCTATAGAGTTGATTTAGGGATTCCCAAGTGACTAAATGTTTGACAATAAGACAACAGGGAAGAAGTGTGCAACTGTGGATTCATTGCAAGTTTTTCTGGCTCTTAGAAGAACCAATGAAGTGTCAGTTGGATGTGACACCTATAACAGCCATAGCCATTTACTGGTACAAAAATGAAGCCAACCCACAAAGTTTAAAGAACCACCAGAGAAGTGAAAATGGATCTTCATTTAATTAGACGCTGATTTCAGATCCACTGTCTGAAGTCTTTGTAGTGTGAGATAAAAAAACTTCTGAATTTTGAAACCAGCAGTCTTGGTCCATTTTCCGTTGCTATAACAAAATACCTGAGGCTGGATAAGTTATAAAGAAAATTTTGGCTCATGGATATGGAGCCTGGGGAGACACCACCAACATCTTCTTGATTCCTGGGGAGGAACTTACGCTGTGTCACATCTACCTGGGGAAGCAGAAGGGGGAAACAGGCACACACAGAAGGAGTATATATGCAAAAGAAAGAGGAGGTACTAGGTTCACTTGGTAATAATCCACTCTGGCAGTAACCAATCCAAATCCCAAGAGTGTGAGAGGAGCCTCTGAAGATGGATGACTCCAAAGCATCTCCACCCCCTCTCTCCAATGTCCTCACCCAGGCTGTCGGGGCTGTGAATGGAGAAGCACATGAGGATGACATCTGTGTCCAGATAGGAGAGAGGCCGCAGACATTCATAGTCTTCTTGCCCTGCTGTGTCGCACAAAGCCAGTTCCACCTGAAACGGGCAATGCATAGCTGACCCCAAGGGCCCTAACCTACTACCCAGAGATCCTCTCAAACCACTGGTCCTGCTGTGTGCAAGGCACCATATTAATCACAGTCATAACAAATTCAATTGAGGTTTTCTTTAAAGTTATAAGATGTAAACTGGGTGTACTGGTGCATACCTATAAACCAGCAATGTGGGAGGCTGAGGCAGAAGAATCGCCAAGTTCAAGGCCATCCTGGGGAACTTAATAAGATGCTGTTTCAATTTGTTTAAAAAAAGTAAAAAGGGCTGGGGATGTAGTTCAGTGGCAAAGTGCTGCTGGGTTCAACCCCTAGTAACCCCTCTCCCACAAAAATCACTAAAATGTGTTTGATTTTTGTGATCTCAAATGAATTGCTATTGTGAATACCACTTTAATTCTCACACTCCTTTGGAGTAAGTCATGGCATCATCACCATTTTGTGGTGGTGGGGAGGAGTTTAAACCCAGAAGCAAAGGGACTTGGCCCTGATTACAAAGCAAGTATGTGGTAGAACCAGAGGATATATCCAGTTTTTCTTTGGGGTACTGGGGATTAACTCAGAGCCTCAGGCATGCTAGGCAAGTACTCTACCAATAAGCACACTCCAGCCCTTTTTATTTTAGATAGGGTCTGGATAAGTTGCCCACACTGACCTCAAACTTGTGGTCAATCTTCCTGCTTCAGTCTCCTGAGTAGCTGGCATGATGGGCATGTACCACCACATGTGACTATATCCAGGTTTTCTAAAAGTGCAGTTTCATTTATCAAATTTTACTTGTTCCCACAGGAAAATAAAACAAAGATGTGAGTGAGTGGTAAGGAAGGACATACTACGTGACCAGATACAGGGTTCCAAGGCAGGATAGGAAAGGGCTCTTGGCCTTACCTGCTTGCTGTCCACCTCAATGTCTGTAATATAGTTCTCAAATACAGTAGGGAAGTAGACCTCTGGAAACTGATCCTTGCTGAAGACGATGAGGAGACAGGTCTTTCTACAGGCACCATCCCCCCAATCACCAGCTTCTTTCTGATTGCAGCTGTGGCTGGGGCTGGCAAACAAGAGGCAGTAGGGATTTGGGGAAAAAAACTAGTAGTCCAAAAACTGCTCTGTGGCCTCCGAAACCTCTCCACAAACCTGGGCAAAGGAAGAGAAAACAGAAAAGGGGGCTTGCTTTGGCACATTCTTGCCAAGCACCATCCTATAAGAAACAGAGTTTAAGATTCCTAATTTCTGGGGCAGGGACAGGTCTCCTCCAATGGGTTAAAATATAGCAGTGGGAGGTGGAAGAACACACTTGGGAACCAGAAAACATGACTTTCAACGTTATCCACTCAAGTGAGGGGAAACATTCAGCAAGGTGTTCAGGGATGCCTCCAGAAAAGCCAGCTTTTATCTGCTTTGCATATTGGAGTCATGAGACAGATTTCATTTGTAACAAGATTTGATACATTTAAGGTTTAATAATTGCTAAGGTGTAATCTAGAACAGATTGTTCCTTGGCTTGAGTCAAGCCTGCCTAGTCAAAAACAAGGAGTCCCTCTACAAAACCAGATACTAGCATAACCACTTACTGGGTGGCTGATATGTAAGAGAAGGAATATTTATAAAGCCCCAAGGTGCCCACTCTTTGTTGGGTATTTTGACAAAAATTATTTACCTCAGGTTCCAGTGGCTTGTTAGGTGAATGGTGCACTTCCCATTTTGACCAAAAAGGAAACTCACTGAGGGTTAGATAATCAGAGTGTCAAGGACAGCACTCAAAGCAGGGCTGTATGCCTCCAGAGTCTCTGCCTTTCTACATGTCACCTCAGAGGTGGAAAGGAGAGCAGGAGGAGGAAAACCCAGACAGAGGACAGAGGCAGCAGCTAGCAGCTTCTCTGACCCACCCCACCCGGTCCCCAAAGCCCGGAGTCACACAAAGGAGGCTCAGTCCAGGCAGTGCCCACAGCTCACATTCAGGCAGCCTGCCTTCCTCCCCTCTTCCTCCTGGGCCTGGTGGCAACACTAGGTTACTCAGCCCCCAGTAGGGGACAATGACTACACTGTAGGGAGTCACACATCCACCACAGCAGAGGGACAGAATAATCCACTAGGGAATCACCTCCACCCACTCTGGAACAGCCCCTTCCTCCCTCTGTCCAGCTCACTTTTATGCACTGCCCACCCCTCCCTGTGACTCAGGGCAAGGAGTCAGCTTCCCAGGGTTAGCATGTGTCCCTCATCACCAACACCCATGAACAAGCAGTTCATCACACCTTCACAGCTCCCCTCACTTCCTCCTTCCCCAGGGAGGGGAGCCAAACTCCACCCAGCTAGATTACCAGCCCTGCAGTCAGGGAGAAAGAAAGGGTGGGCTCTGGAGCTGAAATGAAATCTAGGCTGTTGGGAAGAGGGAGGGAGCTAGAGCCTGGGCTGGGAGGAGCCCCAAAAGAAATGACAAATGAGGACCAGTCCCTCCACCAACTAGGCATGGAGCACAGGGTATGGTAGGTAACCTGATCTCTGCCTCAAACCTAGTTTTTCCTCAGTCCCACATCCTGTCATGCTGGGCTGAGCTCTTCTAGTCCCTGCATTCCACCACCTCACATTATATACCCTGGGTCTGCTTTTTAGGAAGCAGAATACTCCAGCCCCAGGCTGTTTCTCTTCAACAGTGGGATGCTAGGTGGCCCCTCCCTCTCCTCCACTTACACCTTCAGAAAACTGGAATGTGGGGGAAGAGGACATGAGTCACTGAGAATTTATCCGAACCACTCTCCGGATCACAAAGGGGCTCTTGCTGATACCCCAAATGACAGGGAAGATGTGCCCTGCCAGCACATCCCTTTGCAAACAGGGGTTCATTGAAGTCTACCCAGGTGACTGACACTAGGATTTCTTCCAACTCCCCCACCTACTCCCATTAGTTCAACTCATGCACCTGTGTAAATATGGGCTGGGGTAACTCCAACCCAGGCAGTTCGGATAGAGAGCAATCACTACTGATCTACCAGTCACTTAGGCAAGAGTGCACCACTGCCGTCCCCCAGCAAGGCAACTGGCACCAGATGGTGGGACGCAGAGGCCAGAACTTCAGGACCAGGACATGAATTAAGTGACCTGGAACCCCCAGCTCAGAAGACTTTCCCTCCAGGCTCTGGTTGGGCCAGAAGAGCAAGCAGCCCAGGCCAAGCCAGGACACAAGGCCCAAGGCCAAGATGGCATGAACAATAGTTCCCTGTGAGAGGCAAACCCAGAGGAACTGCCCCACTGACCCTAAAAGGGGCAACCAAACCCCACGCAGAGACTGAAGTGGAGCTGGAATGGAGCCTGGAACTTCTAGTGCCTCCCCTGAGACAAGATATGTGGGATACCTAGCTCATTCTCTTGATTTTCCCGAAGATCCAGTGGGCCTCCTACCTGGCTCACTTCCCCTGAAGTTTGGGAAAAACTCACTCTTCAGTTGACACCTCTTCCTCAACTTTAAAGCCAGAACTGAGAGAACTCTTTGCCCCTGGCTCCCCAGCTGACACCCCTAAAATAAATCTTTAGCCTAGCTGGGGAGTGTGGAGGGTAGATTCCTTCACACACTCGCATGAACGAACACACAAGGGCTGGATCCTTCCCCGTCTCCCCTACCCCATGCCCCAGGCCGTTTCCCAGGACTGTCAAGGGCAGCGTCCAACCTCCGCCAGCAGTGGCAGCCCCCAAGGGTCATACCACGCCCTTATTCCCGCCATTCCACCGTCAGGGCCTGGGAGAACTCCCAGCCCATCCCCAGCACCCCAGGCCAGGTCGACGCTGGGCGGTCCAGCCTGGGGCTAGCCAGGGGATCTGGGCTGGGTTTCCTCCGGGAGGGAGATCAAGGCCGCTCCCTTGTTCAGCGGGGGAGGCTTGGAGAAACCCGGAGGGAAGGGAAAGGGCTCCGATCAGGGCCTCAGCAGGAGAGAGCCCCTGACAGGCCGCTCCTGGGGCCCCTCTCTGCAGTCCGGGGCGAAGCCAAGCAGGCCAGACCCCAGTGCATCCCCAAGGCCGCGTCCAAGGGGAGAGAACGGGCCAAAACACCTCGCTGGACCCGCAGGAGCTCCCGGCGAGTGGAGAGGAGGAAAGTGTTCTCCTGGGAACTGGGACGCCCTTCTTCCCCCGCCCGGACCTCTGTATCTTCCGCTTCGTTGCCTCGAGTTGCGCAGCTGGTGCCTGAGGCTGAGACTGACTCTAGGGGCCGGCCCCGCCCCCGCCCGCCTTCAGCCCTCGGCTTGGCCGGCCTCTGGCCCAGCCCCAGGCGGCCAAGGGTCGCCTCCGCTGCAGCGCGAGGATTGGGGGCTCCATCCCCCGGCTGGGTGAGAGGCTGGGAGGAGAGTCGCTTCGAGCTGCCAGGACTGCAGAGGAGTGGGCGGTGACCGGAGCCGGTGGAACCCCGGAAGACTCGGCCTCTGCCCCGCCTTCCAGCCCCTAGGTGCAGATGGGCGTTGAGAGAGTTGAGAGGCGCTCGGGGTGGCGTCAGGAAGGGCCGCTGCTGCCCTCCACCCGCTCCTGCCCCACCTGGGCGCTCACGGGAGGTAGGACTGGGAAACCAGGGTGCCCGCGTGGGCGATGGAGTGGGACGTGGTGTGTGCAGAAGACCACTCTCTGCCACTAGAATCCTTGCGGAACAAGCATAGCCTGACTTCATCCCTAGTCTGAAGGCCCTCCAGGACCTTCTGGGACCTGCAGACCCAGACCACCATTCTGCCTCCTATTCCCTTCCTTCCATTGCCTGGAATGTCCCTGAGTCCAATTCCTACCTACTTCTCCAAGGTTACTCTTGGAAGTGTTTCTGGATCCCCAACCAGGAATACAGTTCCCACTCCTATTGTATTATTGTGCCATTAGTGACACTTAGCCCTGTCTAATGTGTTACATACCGTATTTACCTACATGTAGATCTTCCTTGTAAAAATGAGGAGGTGGACAAAGAAGGAGGAAATCTATCAACATTTTATTGACTTATATATTCTAGGAACTACATAACTCAACCTTTTAAATACTTGTCACAATCCTTTCGGGTGAAGTACACCCATCTTCTTTTGCCTGTAAGGAAACTGAGATTTGAAGACGCAGCTTAGCAAATGTTTGAGATTTCTGATAGCAAGAATTCATACAGTCAGTCCTGTGTGGCTACAATGCTGGTGCTGTCTTCTGATGACTACCGTGCTCCTCCAGTCTTCCCCTCCCCTCATCTAGCACAGTGTGTGTCCCATGATCGGTTTTCAAGAAATATTTGCTGAATGGATGCTTGTTAGAAGTCTTACAGACTTTAAAGAGCTGAAGTACAGCCAACACATTTGGTAAATGAGCAAACTGAGTTCAAGAGCAGTTTCGTCCCCAGGCCTCTTAATCCACTCAATAGTTCACTCAGTATGAAGTGAGAGCTATGTGCTGAAGATTGATTTATGCCTTCAAATAATTTATAGTCTAAATGAGGAATACAGACAATCTCAAGATATCTAACGCTTATGGAACCTGACTCTATATACATTAACTATTTCAGTCCTCACAATAACCTGATGGCCTAGTAGTGTTATCTCCATTTTACTGAGAAAACAAATGGGGGCTCAGAGAGATTACAGAGTTGATGTTAGGTCTGGTCCTAGAATTCAAACCAATGGACTCTAGAGACCTTGCTCTTAATTGCCATTCCCTATGGACAACTCTTGCAGGTGCCCATACAGGAGGCATTTGCTGTTGCGGGGTGGAGAGAATGTGTTAGCTATGGGATGCCCAGCCCTGAAGAACAAATGAAGTATTCAAATTAGGTTGACGTGTATATTTTAAATAACAAATTGAAGCTACTGCAGTCCTACAGAGTCATGGGAACTCCCCAGAAGACAGTGATGGTGATGGAAGATGAGGCTGGAGAAGGAAACAGGAGACAGACCATGAAGGTCCTTATATGCCATGCCCAGGAGTTGACTGTGAATTTTGCTCAGGTGCAGCAAGGAGCTGCTAGAGTTAGGAAACTAATATAATGAAAAACTAAGGAGGTGACAGTGGGAGTGAAGATATGTGGGAAAAGGTACACACACACACACACACACACACACACATGGATACATAAATGTGTATAT